GGGGGGGGTGTGCTAGTGGAGCACGCGCCGGAACCTCGCAGCGGCGAAACTGTTTGCGCTTCGGGTGAGGCTCCCTCTCCAAGATGAGGCCCCACCCAGTCTGCGTGATCTGCGTGTGAGGAAGGGCGGGCCTGCTTCCACCCCTCTTCCACATCATCAAATGTCATCCATGTATCCCACGCCGTCTTCTTGCCCCTGCCACCAATATATGACACAGTGTCTGACACAGTCACTTAAAAAATAAATGAACAGTCTATAATTTTAACGGTAGGTTTATTTTATCAGTGAGACTAAGAATATCAAAAATAAAATCCAGACATTTAAATTATATAGAAGATACAAATTGATATGCATTTAATTGTGGGAAATAAGTATTTGATCCCCTTGCAAAACATGTTTTATATTATGTATTTATATATTATATTATGTATATTATGTTAATATAACAGCGATCTGAGGGGACCTTTTTTTCTCAATTTATATTTGCAAGGTCTTTAATAATTAAAAAGTTATGAGCCTCATCCAACAAATAAAAACTGTTGTTAGGAGATTTGTCAAATTCATAAAAAATCATGACAAAAGAAAAAGAAATTCAAATATTCCAAGTACTTTTCGTTGCTGAAGCCTGACACGTTGCTGAAGGCGGTAAAGTTAAGCAACAGAAATATTTATGAACGCAAAGTGTGCACTGATGTTCAACCTGCACCACAACCCCACAAGTCCAAAGTGTTTATAGCTGGCTGAACCCAAAGGGAATCAAACCATTTACCGGTGACAGCATCCACAACTTCATGACGCTGAATAATGCAGAGGGGGTGGGGGGCTGTTAGTGGTGCTAGGGACCCCTTAGAGGTCAGAGTAATGTCACGGCCCAGCCAGAGCACTCTCCATGTCTGCTGATTGCACCCTGACAACTCGAATGGAAGATGAAGCCAAGCGTGTCCGGGGGACGGCGTCTAACAGCGGAGACCCCTCCCCCCTCGCCTTCTGTAGGGATCAAGGGGGCCATGTTTGTAAAAAATGTGACTGTCCTGGTTTCACTTCTTTTCAGAATTTAAGAGACAAAATGTAGAAGACAGCGGTGTAGCATTCGCTTACTGGAAGAAAAGGGATGAAGTGTTTTTGGCTCTTGTTGCACTGAGATGTAGGACAAGGGGGTTTGAAAAAGCTTTTAAATCAAAGTGAATACAAGCTGTGAGCAAGAAAAAAAGATCACAAAATACACAGAAATGATGAAACTACACTTCAGAATAAGACACATAAATCCCAAAAATCATTGAATGAGGTTTCCATAAGTCAACATACTTGTACACTTTTCTTTGTGTCATATTTATTTACTTGAAGACGAAGTTAATAAAAGTTATGATAGGAGAGTTATCATTGTGGAACTTTAACCATTACAATACTGGTTTAAAGCACAGCAAGTGACTATAAAACAAATTCCAGTCCAAGTTTTGCAATTAAATCGATCACCGGCCAGGAAAAAAGCAGGAGAGGAAGCAAACAAATCCAATCAATCCAAAAAATAGCCACTTTGAATATAGGCCATTCAGCATTATGGTGTCACGCATTATTGCTGACCCACAAACAAGCTCAAAAACAATGAATTATAATGCCACTAGGGTGTTTAACAAGCCGTGGATAAACTCTACCGCTCATCACACGAGGATCAATACAAGGAAGAGGCAGTGTCGGCTTATCAAAGTGTCCTCTTCCTCTCTGGAATAATATATAGGATGCAATATGCTGAAGTGTGGCTACAAAACATATACCTCACTTAATCATTACACCCCAGAGTCCAGATCATTACTTAAACAACCTGCCTGTCATGGCCCGGAAAGATATGTGGGCCTCTATGGAAAAACATTGAGCAATTAAAGCGGGAAACATCAGAAGAG